TATATATTTTGGAGATTTATCCTTTCTCCGTTAATTCGTTTGCAAATATTATCTCCCATTCTGAGGGTTGTCTTTTCGTCTTGTTTATGGTTTCCTTTGTTGTGCAAAAGCTTTTAAGGTTCATTAGGTCCCATTTGTTTATTTTTGTTTTTATTTCCTCTAGGAGGTGGATCAAAAAAGATCTTGCTGTGATTCATGTCAAAGAGTGTTCTTCCTATGTTTTCCTCTAAGAGTTTTATAGTGTCTGGTCTTACATTTAGGTCTCTAATCCATTTTGAGTTTATTTTTGTGTATGGTGTTAGCGAGTGTTCTAATTTCATTCTTTTAGATGTTGCTGTCCAGTTTTCCCAGCACCACGTATTGAAGAGACTGTCTTTTCTCCATTGTATATCCTTGCCTCCTTTGTCATAGATTAGTTGACCATAGGTGCATGGGTTTATCTCTGGGCTTTCTACCTTGTTCCATTGATCTATGTTTCTGTTTTTGTGCCGGGACCATATTGTCTTGATTACTGTAGCTTTGTAGTACAGTCTGAAGTCAGGGAGTCTGATTCACCCCGCTCCATTGTTTTTCCCTCAAGACTGCTTTGGCTATTCCGGGTCTTTTGTATCTCCATACAGATTTTTAAGATTTTTTGTTCTAGTTCTGTAAAAACAATGCCATTGGTAATTTGATAGGGATTGCATTGACTCTGTAGATTGCTTTGGGTAGTATAGTCATTTTCACAATATTGATTCTTCCAATCCAAGAACATGGTATATCTCTCCATCTGTTGGTATCATCTTTAATTTCTTTCATCAGTGTCTTATAGTTTTCTGCATACAGGTCTTTTGTCTCCCTAGGTAGGTTTATTCCTAGGTATTTTATTCTTTTTGTTGCAATGGTAAATGGGAGTGTTTCCTTAATTTCTCTTTCAGATTTTTCATCATTAGTGTATAGGAATGCAAGAGGTTTCTGTGCATTCATTTTGTATCCTGCAACTTTACCAAATTCATTGATTAGCTCTAGTAGTTTTCTGGTGGCATCTTTAGGATTCTCTATGTATACTATCATGTCATCTGCCAACAGTGACAGTTTCACTTCTTCTTTCCAATTTGGATTCCTTTTATTTCTTTTTCTTCTCTGATTGCCGAGGCTAGGACTTCCAAAACTATGTTGAATAATAGTGGTGAGAGTGGACATCCTTGTCTTGTTCCTGATTTAGAGGAAATGCTTCAGTTTTCACCATTGAGAATGATGTTTGCTGTGGGTTTGTCATATGTAGCCTTTATTATGTTGACGTAGGTTCCCTTTATGCCCACTTTCTGGAGAGTTTTTATCATAAATGGGTGTTGAATTTTGTCAAAAGCTTTTTCTGCATCTACTGAGGTGATCATATGGTTTTTATTCTTCAGTTTGTTAATTTGGTGTATCTCATTGATTGATTTGCGTATATTGAAGAATCCTTGCATCCCTGGGATAAATCCCACTTGATCATGGTGTATGATCCTTTTAATGTGTTGTTGGATTCTGTTTGCTAGTATTTTGTTGAGGATTTTTGCATCCATATTCATCAGTGATATTGGTCTGTAATTTTCTTTTGTTGTAGTATCTTTGGTTGTGGTATCAGGGTGATGGTGGCCTCATAGAATGAGTTTGGGAGTGTTCCTTCCTCTGCAACTTTTTGGAAGAGTTTGAGAAGGATGGGTGTTAGCTCTTCTCTAAATGTTTGATGGAATTCGCCTGTGAAGCCATCTGGTCCTGGGCTTTTGTTTGTTGGAAGATTTTTAATCACAGTTTCAATTTCAGTGCTTGTGATTGGTCTGTTCATATTTTATATTTCTTCCTGGTTCAGTCTTGGGATGTTTTATCTTTCTAAGAATTTGTCCATTTCTTCCAGGTTGTCCATTTTATTGGCATAGCATTGCTTGTAGTAGTCTCTTAGTATGCTTTGTATTTCTGCGGTGTCTGTTGTAACTTCTCCTTTTTCATTTTTAATTTTATTGATTTGAGTCCTCTCCCTCTTTTTCTTGACGAGTCTGGCTAATGGTGTATCAATTTTGTTTATCTTCTCAAAGAACCAGTTTTTAGTTTTATTTATCTTTGCTATAGTTTCCTTCATTTCTTTTTCATTTATTTCTGATCTGATCTTTATGATTTCTTTCCTTCTGCTAACTTTGGGTTTTGTTTGTTCTTCTTTCTCTAGTTCCTTTAGGTGTAAGGTTAGATTGTTTATTTGAGATTTTTCTTGTTTCTTGAGGTAGGCTTGTATAGCTATAAAATTCCCTCTTAGAACTGCTTTTGCTGCATCCCATAGGTTTTGGATCGTCGTGTTTTCATTGTCATTTTTCTCTAGGTATTTTTTTATTTCCTCTTTGATTTCTTCAGTGATCTCTTGGTTATTTAGTAATGTATTGTTTAGCCTCCATGTGTTTGTGTTTTTTACGTTTTTTTCCCTGTAATTCATTTCTAATCTCATAGCGTTGTGGTCAGAAAAGATGCTTGATATGATTTCAATTTTCTTAAATTTACTGAAACTTGATTTGTGACCCAAGATGTGATCTATCCTGGAGAATGTTCCGTGCGCACTTGAGAAGAAAGTGTAATCTGTTTTTGGATGGAATGTCCTATAAATATCAAATAAATTTATCTGGTCTATTGTGTCATTTAAAGCTTTCCTTATTTATTTTCATTTTGGATGATCTGTCCATTGGTGTAAGTGAGGTGTTAAAGTCCCCCACTATTATTGTGTTATTTTAAAGTCTATTTTTTCTGATATGAGTATTGCTACTCCAGCTTTCTTTGGATTCCCATTTGCATGGAATATCTTTTTCCATCCCCTCACTTTCAGTCTGTATGTGTCCCTAGATCTGAAGTGGGTCTCTTGTAGACAGCATATATATGGGTCTTGTTTTTGTATCCATTCAGCAAGCCTGTATCATTTGGTTGGAGCATTTAATCCATTCACGTTTAATAGGAACATCGATATGTATGTTCCTATTCCCATTTTCTTAATTGTTTTGGGTTTGTTTTTGTAGGTCCTTTTCTTCTCTTGTGTTTCCCACTTAGAGAAGTTCCTTTAGCATTTGCTGTAGAGCTGGTTTGGTGGTGCTGAATTCTCTTAGCTTTTGCTTGTCTGTAAAGCTTTTGATTTCTCCATCAAATGTGAATGAGGTCCTTGCTGGGTAGAGTAATCTGGGTTGTAGGTTCTTCCCTTTCATCACTTTAAGTATATCATGCCACTCTCTTCTGGCTCGTAGAGTTTCTGCTGATAAATCAGCTGTTAACCTTATGGGAGTTCCCTTGTATGTTATTTGTCATTTTTCCCTTGCTGCTTTCAATAATTTTTCTTTGTCTTTAATTTTTGCCAATTTGATTACTATGTGTTTCGGCGTGTTTCTCCTTGGCTTATTCTGTATGGGACTCGCTGCGCTTCCTCGACTTGGGTGGCTATTTCCTTTCCCATGTTAGGGAAGTTTTAGACTATAATCTCTTGAAATATTTTCTCTGGTCCTTTCTCTCTTCTCCCCTGGGACCCCTATAATGCGAATGTTGTTGCGTTTAATGTTGTCCCAGAGGTGTCTTAGGCTGTCTTCATTTCTTTTCATTCTTTTTTCTTTATTCTGTTCCATAGCAGTGAATTCCACCATTCTGTTTTCCAGGTCATTTATCTGGATACATTTTTTTATATATCTTTTTTTTTTTTGGCCGTGTCACGCGGAATGCGGGATCTTAGTTCCCCAAGCAGGGATTGAACCCATGCCCCCTGAAGTGGGAGTGCAGAGTCTTGACTACTGGACCGCCAGGGAAGTCCCATTTCTCTCTCTCTCTATATTTTTATTTATTTATTTACTTATGGCTGTGTTGGCTCTTCGTTTCTGTGTGAGGGCTTTCTCTAGTTGCGGCAAGTGGGGGCCACTCCTCATCGTGGTGCGCGGGCCTCTCACTGTCGTGGCCTCTCTTGTTGCAGAGCACAGGCTCCAGACGCGCAGGCTCAGTAACTGTGGCTCACGGGGCTAGTCGCTCCACAGCATGTGGGATCTTCCCCGACCAGGGCTCAAACCCGTGTTCCCTGCATTGGCAGGCAGATTCTCAACCACTGCGCCACTAGTGAAGCCCTCTCTATATATTTTTAAAGAACAGATTTTAAAATATCACCACAGATATTATCAGGAAGTCTTTATAAGTATTGGAAAACTACAGAACTCATGGTGGTAAATACAAATTTTCCAAAACTCTTACTTTCATCTAAAAGGTTAAATTTTATCATTGGCAATAAATACTGCCAGTTGTTTTATTCGAAGTGACAGGTTCACTTCTTTTATTTTCAAGAAAATTTCTCAAGTCTGAATAACTGAAGTTTGTTCATTGTCTTTTCAAGTAAAAAGGTGTTCAGTTGTAAAGATTAAATGAAATAATTATTATCAACTTCTTACAACTTGAGAAAGCAGTCAATAAATGGAAGCTAGTTAGTGGTGGGATAACATTTTATGTTATCATAATACCCTCCCACCCATTTAAATTCAGTTGATGTTCCTAATATTTCTGTGACATTGGTAAAATAGATATCAGCATCTCATTACTTAAAGGCAGAAACCTAGACTGTAAGGTGGTATAAGTTTGTAAAGTTGGTTTTAGGAATATAAAGTTACCAACCAATAAGCTGTGAATCCAAACTTCAACTCAAGCCATCTGTCTCCAAATGTAGCATTTCCCCACCATTTTGTCAGTAAAGAGTAAACAGGGGAAGCACAGCTCCACACGACCCATCTAGAATAACACTTTTCGGGGATTGCTGACATTTTCAAGAGATAATAAATTGAGGAAAGAGCCATTGATTTTGTATAAAGTGTTCAGGAAAGAGGTATTATGTGAGCTGAGGCTTGAAGAACTAGTTTTCATCTGTTAATTTGGAAGAGAATTACCTGGTTATAGAAAATCTTTTGTAAATTATGGAGAAGTATAGATAGAGTAAATTCTAAAAGATCACTTAAATAATTTTTTCTCATTCCCTTCCTCAGGCTTTAGAAAAGAACTCAAGAACCTGGAAGTAGCCTATAAATCTTATGAATCCCACCCAGAATCACATCTACAAATAAAAACTCCTTTGATAAAAAGGTAATCCTAGCTATTTGGAATACTAAAATCTTTTAAACTAAATGCATGTATTATAGGAACTCTTTATCAGAAAGGCATACTACCTGTCACTACTCTGAAAGCAATGGGTTTAGAGCAGGGGTCCCCAAGCCCCGGGCTGCAGATTGATACTGGAACTAGGCTGCACAGCAGGAGGTGAGCGGCGGCCGAGTGAGCGAAGCTTCATCTGCCGCTCCCCATTGCTCCCACTGCTCGCATTACCGCCTGAACCACACCCTCCTTCCCAAGTTAGTGCAAAAATTGTCTTCCACGAAACTGGTCTCTGGTGCCAAAAAAGGTTGGGGACTGCTGGTCTAGAGTATTATGATGCATGTTTTATTGGGGATCATTAAAAGGATGTAAACCTTAATGATAGGGGGCCTACAAAGTACCTTGTACAATATATGATTGTTTGTTTTAAACCTCACAGCATTCTTTTGAGATGTATGGTATTTTACAAAAGAGAAAATTTGGGACTTAGATTAAGTAATTTGGCCAAAGCAATGGAGTTGAGATTTGAATATAGCTCTTATCTACTTAGCAGAGCCTCAACTCTTTTCATCTTTGTGCTCTAATTGAATTTTATGCAATTCACATGAGAAAAATAATTTAATCATATGAAGATAATTTGCAATGTGATATTTTTCTTCACCTTAGAAGTTAACTATTACTTAAATAAAGGTAGTCTTTGATTAACCAAATTATTTTTAATTAGTATACTATCCTTATAGCATTATATATCAAAATTAAAGTACCTCTATTGCTATAAACTTTGGGTGGGAAGTGTTTTAGAATATTGAATTGTTTGCTAGTAACATTTTTCTTAAGTCTATGCTACATTTTATCACAATAAATGTAATTTCAGTGTTTTTAAGTTGAATTTTTTTTTTCTTCTTTTTGGCTGCACTGTGTGGCTTGTGGCATCTTAGTTGCTCAACCAGGGATTGAACCTGGGCCCGGGCAGTGAAAGCGCCGAGTCCTAACCACTGGACTGCCAGGGAATTCTCTGAAATTTGCTTTTTTGTGTGTGTGTGGTACGCGGGCCTCTCACTGTTGTGGCCTCTCCCGTTGCGGAGCACAGGCTCCGGACGCGCAGGCTCAGTGGCCCAGCCACTCCGCGGCACGTGGGATCGTCCCAGACCGGGGCACAAACCCGTGTCCCCTGCTTCGACAGGCAGACTCTCAACCACTGCGCCACCAGGGAAGCCCCTGAAATTTGCTTTTTTAATTATACTTCTGGTTATAAATCTGATCTTGGTAATGACGGATGTTTCTAATAAACATTTATGTATTCTGGCATAAAGATTTTGGATTCAAAGAGTGTAAATTGTTAATGGTTGCAAATATCTTTCCATTTCTGCTATGTTACACAAATAACATAAGTGCTGTATTGGGAAGTTAAACTACAGGACAAATGTTTGTTTTCCCTCCAATTTTGCATATATGTGTGTGGCGTTTTAGCTTTATTTTTGTTTTTCAGGTCACATATACGTGAAACCAATGGAAAGTTATTCCCTTCATCCAATCCACAAATACTCAAGGACCATACAGCAAGAGAGCATACCCACCAGTCAGATGAACAGAAACTTGAAAAAGCACATGAATGCAAATTTTCTGAGTGGCTTAATATAGAAAATTCTGAGAGAACAGATTTGCTTTTTCACGTTGATGATAATTCTGCTTCTGCAAAGAGAGTGAACAGTAATGGAACAGTCTCACCATCTTCATTGTGGTCTTCACACATGAGAACTGTGGGGTTGAAGCCAGGAACTGCTCCCCTCATCCAGCAGCAAAATGTGATAGAACAGTGTTACTCTGAGAACTCTCTATCCAGGGAACATCTCATTCAGTCAACCTGCAGATCTGATGGTTGTCAGACGCCAGAACTTGTTTGCCAGAATACCCCAGCCCCTCTGCCACCAAAGAAATATGCTATAACCAGTGTGCCACAGTCAGAGAAAAATGATGCTGCACCTGCTGTCAAACCAACAGAGATGTTTAAAGCTAATTCTTCTAGTCTCCCAAAGCACAGTTTAAGTACAGCTTCAGAACCAGGTTTAGAAGTGAGTACATATATGAATGATGAAAGACTTAAGGAAACATTTCAAGCAAAAGAGTATGTTGGCAACACATCAAACACCCCGTCCAGCTCTTCAGCTAATGATTTTCAGGCAGACTCGGGTACAGCTGTTGGTGCTTCTTGCCAGCCAGAAATAGACTCTAGTTCTACCTGTCCAAATGAGACAATTTCATTAACTACTTATTTTTCAGTGGATAACTGCATGACTGATACATATAGATTGAAATACCATCAGAGGCCCAAGCTCTGTTTTCCAGAGAGCAGTGGCTTTTGTAATGATAATTCACTTTCTCAGAATGAAAAAGGGCTAGGGCCTGTGTTACATAGTAGTCTTGGTTCAAACTGCCCTTCCAAGCAAAGATATAAACCTAGTATACATTGTAATAGATAAATGATGAAACCGACAGGCTTTTACTTCTGAGGCCATTAACTAGGAATCAAATGACCAAACCTAGTGCTATATGAAATTAAAACCATGGCAATATTTAACTCATTAATCACTTTAACTTTCTATATAGATATTTTGTGAAGATCTACTTATTGGATATTTTGGAATTCCCTCTGAATAGTCTTGGCATGCCTCAAAAAATAGAAAATCCGGGGGTATGCAGAAAGTCATTTATCATATGCTGCAGTTGAGTAAAAATGTAATTTGTCCCTTTCTATTCTGACTGGTAGACCCATAGGTATTAAACTAACCAGTACTCATATGTAGATTGGTAAACTGTGCTAACTGAAAGATAGATGATATGTAGCTTGTGTAGTCAAAGCAATATTTGCGTTGTGAGGAAGCACTTTCTAATGGGGAGCCAAAAGAGGACTTCACCCATTTGCTTTTGACTTCTGTGATAGTCTACTACATGTGATCCCTTTAAGTGTCTTAAAATATATCGACCCATGAAATTGATAGCATTTGGGGGAAAAAAGCCTTAATGATAAAGCAATTTTTAAATTCTCAAGGTCAGAAGAGAAGACACTTAATTTTGCTCCTAGAATTTTTATCTTCAGAATATCCTTTGTTGTATGCATTCATAAACATTACTTCAGTCATGTAAGCTAAAAATAGTTAAAATACTTCACTTTAGTATATTTATTTATCTTGTTACATTTTTTCTAATTTTATATGAAATGTGAAAGGTTTTTACTTTGGTTTGGTTTACTTTGGGCTGCTAATAACCAGTGTTAGGAATTAACCTATAGTCCTCTTTTTAAGAATATCACTGTGACTGCCTAAATTTTCCCTGCTATAATATTACCTGTTTGTAGGTTGTCAGCCCATTTTAGTAATTTTCATATTCTTGAATTTGAAAATCTTTCTGGGTTTCCAGATTTTTTGCCTTTCATATAGATTTAATTTTTAATGAAATGTATTAATTTGAGCATCCCTCCCTTTTTTCTAAACAAATAATTTAATTTTTACCCCACCTATTTTCATGGAGAAGTCTTTCTTTAAAAAAAAAAAAAAGGGATTTTCCATTATTATGATGACCTTACAAGTGAAAATAAGTAATTGCCTTATTTCATAGTTGTCATTTAATTTTGTACTAAGCTGGTAAACTAATTGTAGTTTAGAATAGTTTTATATTGTCCACACTAGAGAATTGAGAATTTAAATTTTATATATAAAACATAATAATTCTGTAATTAGTAAATTTAATATCTTGACCAATCCTATAAATTGTTAAAATATTCCAAAATGTAAATGAATCTTATTTTCTAGATAAGTAGAAAATAATTGCTTGTAGAAGTCTAAGCTCACTGAGTTATCAAATCTTGGCCAAATTCTGTCTTCCACCTAGAGAAGTTTTTAATAGCCTTTCCTAGCTATAACAGTAGGTGATTATTACTTTATATTCTCTTAATTTAGAAATACTTGAATATCAACTAAATAAAATTTTATCTTTTAAGAAACCTTTTTTTTAACATAGCTTTTAGTATGGGGGGTTTGTAAATATTGTACATTTGTAAAATTGTATTTGAAATTCACTGTATTTAATTACTGCTTTTATAACATTGTAAAATACTAGAAAAATGAGCTTCAAGTATTTTTTTTTTTTTTTTTTTCCTTGCGTTACGCGGGCCTCTCACTGTTGTGGCCTCTCCCATTTGCGGAGCACAGGCTCCGGACGCGCAGGCCCAGCGGCCATGGCTCACGGGCCCAGCCGCTCCGCGGCATGTGGGATCTTCCCGAAACGGGGCACGAACCCGCGTCTCCTGCATCGGCAGGCGGACCCTCAAGCACTGCGCCACCAGGGAAGCCCTCAAGTATTTTTAATAGCTTTCAAAAACTTTGTGTAGTTTTTGTTTTGTCCAGTTGAAAATGTATTATTTGAAACATTTAAGCTGATTTCTGATACTTATAAACATTCTCATAGATTTGTATGGGATTCAACTCACAATTGAGTTGCAAATATCAAAATAGAAACGTCCAATTTGGGCTCTTTTTAAAGTACTGTCCAGTTGAAACCTCCTGAATCATGTTATAGTACTAATAGACTAGAAACTGACCATTTGTTTTTGTTGATTCAACACTCCAAATATAGATTGAATATGTATTTACTAATCATTCACATGTGAATTTTTTATTTCTAGGGTGTCTATTTTTATAGATGTTTTCTTCTGGTTATAAGCCCTTACTAAATATCCTGTAGTCTCTGAATGTATTCCCATTACTTTTAGGGACTAGGTATATGGAGCACTTCACATCCTAAAATTTTCAGGTTAACAGAACTCTAAAGACTTCCAATTGCTCATTGGCCAGTTGATTTCAACTTTTAAAATAACGCAGCCAACGATTGTAATGTTCAAAATACTTCAGAGTATCTTTGTGTGAAGTCAGTTTCTTCTGATTCAAAATTTTGCGGCAGGGGATAAACTGATTTTTAATTTAATATGGTTGGACTTTTCTTTACATTCATAAACTGTGGCTTCCTTTCACCTCTGTGAATTATATATTTTATGGGAAATGTAAGTCAATTTAAAGTTCAGGGGTGAACTTGGAATATCACTGATCAAAAAATTTACCACAGGAGACTCCTAAGAGTTCAACTCCAACAAGGCCTAAAAGGAGCGTTGCCACAGGAGTTGGCAAACTTTCTATAAAGAGCCAGATAGTAAATAATTTAGGTGTTGTGGACCATAGGATCTGTTACTCAACTCTGCCACTGTAGTGTGAAAACAGCCGTAAGGTAACATTTACATAACAGTATGCAAATGAATGGGCATGTCTGTGTTCCAGGAAAACTTTATAAGCATTGAAACTTGGATTTCACATCATTTTCACATCATGAAATAGTCTTGACTTTTTTCAATCATTTTAAGATGTTAAAAATTATTCTTGGCTCACAGGCCTTTAAAGAGAGGCAAGTGGGCCAGATTTGACCCATTAGTGTAGTTTGATGACCCTTTTCCTGGAGCATAATTACCTCTACATTAAGTGCCCTTACTAAATATCCTGTAGTCTCTGAATGTATTCCCATTACTTTTAGGGACTAGGTATATGGAGCACTTCACATCCTAAAATTTTCAGGTTAACAGAACTCTAAAGACTTCCAATTGCTCATTGGCCAGTTGATTTCAAACGGTTATTAATTAAAACAATCATTTCACTTATATGAAATTTACAAAGGAATTTATCAGACTAAAATCACATTGATGTAAATACTTTTGATGTCTCTATTTTTATCACAGCAAGTTTGCCAATTCTTCTTGGTGTCCCATTTACCCAGTTAAAAGCCTTCAAGTATACTATGTTACCCCGAGATGGCACAGTTCAGTGGTAGGCACAATTTCATCTGTAGGAAATATTCAAACCTCATACTGCCACCATTTTGGATACCATTTACAGTCATGTCACAACACTACAATCTTTCTTCTTAGTGTATCTTCCCTGTACTAGAAATTTTCAGAATATTCAATAGTTGTGGTAGAAGGCTGATTCTAGGCTCAGAAAGGTAGTATGGATTATAAATCTTTGTGTGTGACCTAACACACAAGTAATTTGTTAAAATGAAAGGAAATCAGACCCAATTTACCTGTATAATCAACATTTATTGGACAAAATTATTAGCAAGTAGCACAAAAACAATTCATACAATCTGTTTGGTACCCTCAATGAAATCCCAGTTGTTTCTCTAGATGCTTCAACCTTGCCTAAAAAGTTCTCCTCAGGCAGGTCTGTTAGGTTCTCTGAAGGCATAATTGTTAAACTTATAGTCAGCATTAGGCTAAAAGCCTCCAAAATCAATTCCAGATTTCACACTAACCCTAAATGCCATTCTAAAGAACAGAGGATGTAGAGTTTACCAGATCTATGCCCTGCTTCGAGGGACGGGAAAAATATTTAGGCAATTCCAATATATAAAATGTCACCAATTTCAAGGACAAGAGCCCATTTCTAACATCTGTTATATAACAGGAATAGCTTCTGAAGGGCTTATAGTAGCTGCTTTGGGAATGTGACCTTTTTGACTAAATACTAGCTGATCACTCCTGGGAAATAAATTCTTGTTAACATATTTAGATAAAAAAGAATGTAAGCTCCACAAAGGCAAGGATTTTTGTCTATTTCGTTCAGTGCTGTACCTGGCCCACAGTAAGTGCTCAAACATTTGCTCAAAGAGTAAATATGCTGGAGTATTAAAGTGAGTTACAGACATTATAATAAACATGTTTTGGCCACAAACATTCTTAATGCAACCACAATAAAAATTAGGTTTGAAACACACAGTCCTACTTTACAGAGTTCAAGAGCTTAAAAGTAAGGGGAAGCATCCAGGTAAGAGGACATGCACTCTAGCCTTCCATTACTGGATATTATATACTTTCTCTAAGATTGTACCAACCTAGCAACCATAACAGAGGTCCACTTAATCTAAAAATTAAACTGGCACTTACAGCAAATATATTGTGGGCCTGCATTTTCTGTATAGCTTTTAACTCCTTTTTTCAAAATCCTTCCCTTGCTTTTGGATAATTTCTAAATATTTCACCTTATTATTTCACCATATTATCTGCATCATACTAAACCTTGGCCAACCTTTAAAATGTTAAAGGAAAAACATTAATCTATTTCCTAATGAGTATAATAAACCTTCATGTATAAATACTTTTTATGTTCAGCCCCTGTAAAGCCACCAAATAATCTGTAAAAAGTTTTAAAACATGAATCAGAGCGGAGTTTTAAGAACTTAGCTATGAATGGCTGAGATCATTACCCATTTAATATAGTCCCCGCAAAGAATAACAGAATGTGTAAAATGAAATGAAGGTCCCTTAGAGTTTGAAATTCTTCTGGTGCACAATCCTGTCTTCTTTGTTCAAGAAGTTTGTAGTCATTTTCAGGATCCACTCCAGGAGCCAAAATTCTTAATTTAGGTATCAGGCAAACCA